GTATATAAAAAGAAAGAATTGTAGCTCGATGAAATAAACCTCGGAAAAGTGGAGATCGGGGAGTGTAAAACTGCAGGAGCCAGAGTCCAGACACTGTTTCTTTTGGTACTTTTCACCCGGAATAGTGACATTGGTAAATGACAGCTTTAATGGCCACTGTGAAAGCGAACATGTTGTACAGCTCTATGTAGCCCTCCCCAAAAAAAGGTCACATATGATTCCTTTTGGCAGCAGGCATGAGAAAAAAGTCGGGTTCAAGCATGTAAACGAGCTCAAGCTGCCTGCCGCCATTTTTACCACCGCCGTGCCTGAGGATATATGACATGACGCCGCACGGAGCGCAACATTGGCAGCCGTGACTGACATTTCAGCCAATAACGGTCGAGGGTTTTCTTCGTGCGCTTGTCAGCAGCGGTTTATCAATCACTACGTCTGCGTTAGCATCCGTCCAATCGATCGGCCGCTCGATGGCTGCACTGTCCTTGTCTACTTTATCATCATCATCTTCATCCTGCCGCCGCGCTGACACTTTGTTCCGGATGAATATTTCTATTGTTGTTGCCGGTGTGCCTTCAGTAGAGGATTATGCACACGGTGCACACGTGATGTATGAGCCTGAGTTACACGTGCAAAGTGGTGATCGTTAGCGTAACGGATTAGCTGTGATAGTCAGGCGGATGATAATTACCTTAACAAGAAAATGATTCATCACCTCACCTCGTTAGAGGCAAAAAGCAATAACAGCACTATACATATCATAAATCCAATTACTTAGCATCTTCAATGAATAACTAGCATTATTATTACTCGGGTTCTTCGTTAATTAGCCGCCAATTCAATGAGACCCAACACAAGAGCTGTATCAAAAGATAAAATTAGTTTTGAGTGGTATTAAACTGTATTAAAGCTGAGGGTTCTACTGGTTGTAATATTTTGCTCCACTAGCTACAAGCTAGTTAAGGTGTCCCTAATATAGAGGCCGTGAAAATGATGTGTTTCTTATTGTATTTGAACATTTTTACATGCATCCATCCATCCATTTTCCGATCGGCTTATCTTCACAAGGGTCGCGGTGGGTGCTGGAGCCTATCCCAGGCGTCTTCGGGCAGTAGGCGAGGGACACCCTGAACCGGTTGCCAGCCAATCGCAGGGCACACACAAACGAACGACCATCCACAACCCTCAACGAACCAAAGAAAGGTATAGGAAGGAATAGGTGCAATATTATACAATTTGGGCATATGAGATTATATTTTGGGCTGCTAAATTCCATTTTAGCATGCCTAAAATGGCCACCGGTCATGCTAGTTATTATGATGAATAATCATCATTGTTTTCTAAGATGGTGGATCACTGTTATTTGGAGAGCGCAATATTTTCAAAGTCCAAGCCGATCAGTTTTTACACCATAATGCATGTAGTGTGATTCTACAAGTCCCAGAAATGATTGACCATATCTCATGTGAAGTGACGGAGCTGCCCGCCACTTCCCTGTTAGCGCTAGCACTCATGTAGCGCTTTAGAATCAGGTTTATCTAAGTGGCAGTGTTACCGCACAAATTAACGTTCCAGTACCGCACACATTAATGTTCCATATTTTTTATTGAAAAGACACTTTTACTGTATTTTGTTCTCAAACTGCCGGCGCTCATTTGTGGCTATTTTCTTTCACAGTCAATCCTTGAGGCTCAATACAGTAGCCTTTGAGGATCCAAAAAAATGTTTGTTAATTGTAAAACGTTAATGGCCATTCAACTGATGCAAAATGTGTCTTTTTACTTGCGTTTATTTCTGACATGACTGCATATTTTTCTAAAGCACAACATTATATCGTTCTATTTTTCTCGTAAAACTCATTTTGCCCCTTTCAATACAAAAGCACTGTTGTTTTATTCATGTATTAATCGCAAGGTGCTGTATGATTGATATTGGGACTGGTGCTTTGCTTCATAGAATTGCTGAGCAGCACCTTATAGCATTAAAAAAAAAAAAAACAGGTCTGCGTGCACATCCATCTTACTCGCGTGTTAGTCAGAAGCGATAAGAGCTTGTCAGCCAACAGCAATACCAGCTATAGGTGCTGTCAGTCGCCGCTCTGTGTGTTTTAAAGTGTGTGTCTGTTTGGGCGCAAAAGTGTATAGACGCCTTTTGAAACGAGGCATCAGTCTGCCTCGCCTCGCTGTCAGCCGCAACTTGCTGATTTGTTCATTTCCGTGTGAGGTGGTTGCAATTTTTGTTTTCTTTTTTTTTTTTTTTTTTTTCCTTTCTGGTTCAATGTTTCACCCAATTTGTGTACTCGCTGTGTGAGGTGGAGTCTGTCCAAAATTGAAAAAGATGGCAGTTGAAGTGGATTTCTTTTGGAATTAAAATATTCAAAGCAGCATGCCTACAGTATTTGATTTTTGTTAAGCTTAAAGGGTTGGTGTGTAGCTTTTTTTTTTTAGTTCATTTATTTTAATAACCCATTATTTCAATAATATGCAAAAAATATGTTCTATCACATCAATGTACATTTTGTCTTTTTCTTTTTTTTTTGAATATAATCATAGGTCTAGTAATCACTAATTATTTTACTTGGGTCGCGCCTCACCTTACAGGGGGCTGGCATGTCTCGCCGCCATCTTTCTTCTACGGATACCCGAAGGTGACAAATCACCCGATCAGAACTTTTGCAAAGCATTACTTCGTCATTTGAGGGAATACATGAAGTTGTTTGTGATGATATTTTGCTTGTAACTCTGCTGAAGGAATTGGTGGTAGGTTCAGTCTGGTCTTTCTAAGGCACCGTAATGCTTCTCAATGAACGCGCTTCAAACTTAGGTCCTCGCATCCAATTAGTTTACCACTAGGATAGCAAGCGCATTATTACACAATGTAAGGTACATTGTGTAATAATAAAAAAAATTCCCAGTGTTCACATTTTGTCTTTTATGACCTGACATCTCAACATGGATCATACATTTTGTCTCCTTCCTCAGTTTTGATATAATTCTAACTTTGAAAAAGACATTTAATTTATTGCCTTGTATTTACAAAATATTTCCATCTGCATAGGTCATCCAGGCCAGAGTTGGCAGCGTTGCACACTTTCTTCTCACAATGATGAATAATGTGTTTTCTCAATGGGTCCACACCTAAATTTCTGCCTTTGGAAGGCTGTCATTGAAATGCTTATTTTGCATTCTTGTCATACATTTTCAAATAGCTTTGTAAATAACAATATTGTCACTGTCCAATAAAACTAATATCTCTTTTCTTTCTGAAACACAAACACATGTACTTTTTGTTGAAGCTTTATATGAAAGCAAAAAAAAAAAAAAAACGGAACAATTGGAGATACAGAGTTTTTATTGGAGAGCGACAATGTCTGGGTTCATTCATATTTACTTCATCTTTTTTTTAATTGATACCAACTGTCAAGATATCTTCTTATAAAAATCCCATGAGGGAAGTCAAATGAACTAAATACAATTTTAAATACAAATTTAATTATGACGAATGAATGAATGAGGGAAATGGCATGGCCTTAAAATGAGGCATGTGGCATCAATTTTGGTTTAACCTACCAAATGTGGTTCCTTGCCTTGAGCACTTGACTGCAATGCTTAACAGCTTCTATTTATCCTTCATTGTTCTCAGTGGTTCACAAACGGAAGTGTGAAAGAAGCTTTCAGATGGTGAGATTTTTTTTTCTTCTTTTTGCTTCTAATTTGTATAAAATGTACCTTTATCATCTTTAAATAAGATATCAATCTTAGGGTGGGGTTGCATGAACGTATTCAAAGCTGTGATGATAACATATGCAGTGCAATTAATAATAGGAGGGTGTCCAGTGGGACATGTTGCCTTCCTCTTTGTCTGCATGTTGACCCCCCCCCCCACCACCACCCACTCCCCTCCCAAAAAAATAAATACTCTTTTGGACTTGTTAACCTGAATGAGTTCAATTCATGTAATAAGTCAACATTTTAGTAGTTCCGAGTGCACACCGCAGCACATATATATTTTTTAATCCTCGCTTTGCCAGTGCGTTGCTTTCTTTTGCATGATGAATGTTACACCGTGCCCACTGCTTCCTGCCTTCCATTTGCAGATTGTCACGATAAAGTTCTCCTATTGACTCAAGTCAAGAATTTGTTAGCGCTGCATCTGTTTAGACGTCACGGTGCCTTTGAGTAAGATATGCGGCGCTGTCAGAGAGCAGAGATGTACTTTTATCAAGCGGGAGCTTCGATGGCTGCAGTTATTGATGTACTTGATGAATAAAAATGCCATTAGGAATGCTCTTTAGATGGCAAAATCTATTGAGAGGTTGCCTGCCTGCGTCTGATTTAAATGCCAATAAAGTCACCTAGGACACGTCCACACCGCGTTGAAGGATTGGACAGCACACACTGCCATTGTGCTCCTTTTACAGCTTGAACTTTGCACGGTCCTAATATTACTCCTGACACCACCCTTCATCATTTTTATGATAAGGCTGTGTGAATGCGTTAGCGGGTGAGGGCGGGGGTTGCCCCGGTCAGAGGAAAATCGGCACTGTCTCTTTAAGGTTTTCCAACCTCTGAAGAGAAAAGTTTGCCTTCCATTCCATGTGCGATGGCAAGCGTGTTCCGCTTCCTGTGTGAAAATGATGGATGACAAGTTAAATTTGTGTCTGGGGAGTGAAGGTGAACTGTGACAGAGTGATTTGTCTTGGGAATGGAGGGTTGGGGTCAGGCGAAACTGGGCGCCCCAAGGCACAAGACATTGACAAATTCATCCTGCCCGCCGCATTTCTGAAGCCTTTTGTTTTGAATCCTGGCTACTCACAAGTGACCCCCATCCCTCATCCTGCCAGCCTCTGAAGGATGCCTCGCCATGCCAGGGGGAGCTCAGCGCCACTAATTCTTGTCATTCACCCCCCTCTGCACTGACAGGCCCGGACATAAACTCTTTCAGCATGTGAAATATTTATCTCTGACCATAACCCGTCTTTTCCTCTGGCCTTATCATTGCAGGTCCCTGGCAGGCCTCAAAACGTTCACTGAGCTGGAAGAGCTGGTCGTCGACAACAATCTGCTTGGGAATGACCTCCGGTTGCCCAGGTTACCGAACCTGCACACCTTGACGCTCAATAAGAACAAAATATCCTTTCAAGCAAATAGACTCTTTCCTTAATAGCCCTGTAAGAAAAAAGAAAAATGCGGACGTCATCATCGGCTCTTGGTTTTGTTGGCTTGAGGGAATGCTTTTAATGGCTTTGCAGGGCGCTTGAGTGTGGAGGAGCTCCACTGAGGAGCTGTTTCTGAGCCACAGGGACCTCTAGTGGAGTCAGATTTCAAGTCAGCAAAAACATACAGCGCTATCAAAGAGAAGAGTGTTGAATCGATTAATGAGGTGACCTTACGTGTTGATATCACGTGTTTTTGTTTTTTTTTAAATAGAGGAAATTCTTTTTTTGAAATGATATTCTGGTGCAGATTCATGATTGCACTTGAGCCGCCTCAAGTTCCCATTAAGCACCTTTCGATGTTTTTGGGTGTGCCAATTAACATGTAGAGTGTTGATTAGATCACCACCGCCAGTTAGGCATCTCAGAAACCATTGGCATCATGGATTGCTTTAATACAGAATGTTTCGATTTCAGTGAACTCTCAATATTTTACCGTTTTGAACACGAGTTATGATTTTCAAAATGTAACTCTTCATTTCAAAATGTTTGCCAATGTACTGGGCTGCTTTAAGAAGTAAATAATGAACCAAGCCTCACGTTTAAGGACCACAACTTTTCTCAAATGCAAGTCAAGAACTATCATTTCATATCTTCATAATACAAATCCTAATAATGATGTGCTTTACTATGTTTTTGAACTGTAAATCTGGAAATTCCGATGTATGACAATTTCATGTGAAAATGTCCTTTTACATAAAGTTTGTACATGCTAGTATTTTAATAATACAAAATCATAGAAGCCGATTTGTGCTGAGTTGCAGTGCATTGCAGATATCACAGCCTTTACATTTATCCCCATGTACACGTACACAACTCAAACATCTGGCAGCAGCAACAGGGTAATTCAAGATAATTATACTTTAGTGTTTGCAGGGAATGGATGGGGGGGGGGGCACCAAGTCAAGCGACACCCAAAATTGTACACCAGCGATGCTAGTTAAATACATTACTGTGTTCTTAGTCATTTTGAATCCATTCTGTGAGGTCTTGCAAGCATGAAAACTCATTTTGGTTGCCGCTGCTTATCATTTATCGAACTTGCGTTGGACTACTTTTGTATTTTTGTGTTTTCAAAACCATACTTGCAGCACTTTTTTTAATGTTCTTTTTAGCAATATCTTCATAATATTGATAATGTGATTATTTTAGTCGATAAACTTTTTTTTTAATGTCGAGACAGAAGACAGTGCTGTAGTGTTTATCTTCTTTGCTATGTGAACCCATCCGTCCATTTTATATACTGCTTCCATTTAAAAAAAAAAAAAAGAAAGAAACGATAATGTTTTCCCCGTTTTTACAAGGTGGCTGTGTTGTAAATGTACCTTGAGTTTCCATGGTAAAAGAGAAGTCAGCCACCCTAAAGCCGAGGCGTTGACAAAATACAAGGCTGTTAATGATAAGACATAAACACGCTAACTTCCCTTCTCGGTTTCCGAACCGGTTCGGCAGTGTGTCCTCTTTTCACTCGGCTTCCTCAGACCCCAGCGGCGGCTCGCCCTCTCACATACATTAACACTCACGCCGGCACTTCCAGAGTCAACATTAAAAATGGGGAAGGGGGCGGGGTGGGGGGGCGTCTGGGACCGTGTGCCGACTTGGGTTGTGAAGTGGCGGGCGCATGCTAATAGGCCAATTATGTACATCCTGTCGTGGCGCGCTGCCATTTTATAGCTTGAGCGCAGCATTAGCGCCGTTGTATTTTGACACTTTCGGGGCTCAATTTTCCAAGTGAATGTATTAGTGATGAATGTGCCTGCTTTCAGGGCTGTTTGTTTTTTTCCACGATTGGCAAAAAGTTTTCCACGGTTGCAGCTCTGGGAAGCACGGACTGTTTGAACCGCAGGGCATCCATCATGTTGTCACTATTCTACAGCCGGCCACCTAGGAAATGAAAGAGATGAAGAGAAAAGCAGCCAAATTGTGTCACTGCTATACGCCAAAGCCTGCGCCTTAAATTGGCCCTGTGTCGCACAAAGCTGGTGACTAGCTCCTTTGAGCACCTCCGTACGTGTGACAGTGATGTGTTCGTGGACCGACAGGGCCGAGAACAGCGCTGTGGGTAGTAAATGCTAATGTAATTAACAGCGCTAGGTCCTTGACATCCGCCCTTTGACACCTGACTGATATTGAGGCCCTGCTGGAGCACTTGGCTGACGTGACCCCGTCGCTGGAGTACCTCAGTTTGCTGGGCAATGAGGCCTGCCCCAACCAGCTGGTCAGCCTGGATAAAGATGAGGATGACTACCAGAGATACAGGTCAGTTCTGCGAAACCACGGAACCTATATCTTTGCAAAGCACCTTTATTTTCGAGCAGCAATACCCTATGTCTCCATTATACCGAAAAGTACACTTGATGTAGAATTGCAGATGAATTGGTAAACAGTTTTTTCTCATTTAAAAAATAACATTTTGGGGAATATAACAAAGAGTGGCCTGAATGAACAGAACTGTTTTGATCGTGGAATGAGAAACGTGGAAGAATGGGATGAGTTTGTAAAATATCGCCTTTAATTTTGGAATTTTGTCATGGGAAATGTGAAATACTGAAAAATTTGGGGGTCGTGAAAAATAGTTTCCAATATGTTGATGAGCAGTACAGTTTCCCGAATGAGCCGAATGTTTTGATGTTGCAATGATTTGAATTAGTTGAGAAATTAAGGAGTTTTCAAAAGAACAAAATGGTGGCATAAAAATGAAACTCGTTGCGTGCGGATGAGAAGTGCAAATGTTCTTCACACAATTAGTTTCACTAAATGATACACATGGTCACATAGCACGAAGATGAATGTAAAGGTGTGGGTGTTGAACACTTTGATCAGGAAGAATGCGGGTCCTGAAAAACAAGTGAACACCCCTGCTTGTACATTATATTGAGACATAATGACAGTAAATAAGTCTAATGACATATAATGTATTTGCCTTTAGCATGTACGGTACATTCATTTACTTGTTTGGCTTCTGTTGCTGTTTTTTCATCACTTAATGGCACATTTACACACAATAGTGGTGGACCGGCCCACTTTCAAGCTCTTGCTTGCACATGCGTGTCAGCAAACTTTTCCATTCAGATTTATGTCTGGTGCTGGTACAAAATGTTCTGCCCTCGTTCAAGACATATGATGACCCATGTACATTAGTATAATGACACTTAATCTTTAAGCATGTTTAATAACGTCTACAACCATGTTTTGATACGTGCGTTTGAAATGAATGGACACTGAACAAACATTTGTTACTAGGTAAGATATGCTGTAAGAATATGTTAGATAATAGTCAGTCAATGTTTGCATGCAATGGTTAGGTTACAGGTAAACTAGCCCTGACAACAATTGCGTAGTAGCATCTATGCTAGCATGACAGATTCTGATTTGTGTGCGTGGTGCTGGTACTGCCACCACCCAAAACAATCTACAGTATTATAAGTTATGATAGATACACATGGAGCATGTGTTTTATTAACACTAGCATTGTACATTAGCTCACTTCCTTGTTTTTGTTGAAAACACCGACATTTATTACTGATTGAGTTACTGAAACCATAACAAGCATAAGCATTAGCAACTACGCTCACGTTACATTCAGCTTTGTGCTCATACAAAGTTTGTCCCACGCTATTTAATTTCAAGTGCGAGATGGTGACACATCTGTTAGCATGAACGTCAATGTCTGCAGCATCCATTTGAGGTTAGCTCGGTACTGCAACTTATTTGGAATGAGTACAAGGCAAGTCACTAAATAAAGGACTGCACTCTCTTTATGGAGTATGTCAGGAATTAATTTGAACTTCTGAATGCGTCACGAATAACCCCAAATAACCTCAGAAGAACTTGGTCATGAAAGGTTCTTTGAAAAAGCCACAACGCTATTTTGCACCCACGTCGTATAGCTTTTTGTAAGTCATGTATTTGATGATGTCCTGTTTCCTCCAAACATTTCACAAGCAAACTGCGGATCCGACCACATCGTTCTAAAAGCTTTGTCACGCGGCCCCCTCTCTACACTCCAGTTTGCAAAATGGATTTCATGTGTGACTACTCCCCACCACAAATGAGTGTTTACTAGGCTGCCTTAGCGTGGCAGTCGATGCATTAAACATCAAGCCGGGCCCCGAGCCATGCAATATGACCACCATTTGTCAGGGTCCTTTACGTGAAATGTGATAAAAGGCGAAAAGCATACTCTCTTTTGTCTGTTTTAGCCCTAAGTGCTTGTTTCTGACTCTGTGTTGCCTATTAATCATTTAGTACCCAGGCCTTTCTTGAATAATATTTCACCCCTCTTTTTTGTCTCCCTTTCACTTTCCTTACCCCGCTCACTTTTTCGCCCCGCGTGCTTATCTTACTGGTGTGGAGGGCCGCTCGCGTCAGAGTGACAGTCGTCTACGCTCCTGTAATGTAATATTCATAATGTGTCACATAGTCAAACATCAATTTGAGCGTGATGCAGATTCCATGTCTGACAAGGTTAGGCTGTGTGCAGGTCATGACAGCACTGGGCCTTGGGCAATAAATAGCCAGGACCGTGCCTTGGGAGCCCGTGGTCTCGAAAGTGGCGGATCCTGGTGTGTTGCCTCCGTCCGCCAATTAGTGCGATGACACAGAAAAGTACAATTCATCCCCGCTGTAGCTGCAATGGTCAACGGGGTGGTTAAACTTCCCCTTCTTCACTGACCAGACACATCCCGAGTGGCCATTTGTGGTACTGCAGTAACATGCAGTACCATTTCATTTGCTCGCTGCGGTTCTCAGCTGTGAGATTCGCTCTGTGCAATGCTGATTTGTATTCAGTGAAAGGTTTCCTAAACTTAATCTCTGCAGACCAAGTCTTCTCTAATTGATGTCGGTCAACCACTGATTTGGCGTTTCATTTTGTTGCAGACGATGTCTCCCTGGGATGTGCCACGCACACGGATGCGCAAAATGTTTGACTTTATCCCTTTGTGACTTTGTGATTAAGCGCTGCCCCCGCGAGTGAAAATACAATCGATGCTTTCACTGCTTAAAACCGTATTCTGCCTTGTCATAGATGTCAGGGTGAACAGTTGCTCATTTGCATAAGGCAAATGAGCAACTGTTGCATTTTGTTACGATATACAGTACTTACTCCATTGGATAATTTTGGACAGGTCTGTTTCTGAAGAAAATTATTTTATTTCAGTTGTCTGGTTTTGAAATGACACCGGAAACCTCTTTCTAAAGATGTTTTCAGTAACATTTTCGATTTGTAGTTTGATTTTAACTCAGAATATCCTCAATGAAAATTCTCTTTAAAAAATATTAACCCGGAAACTGGAAAAAAAAAACAAAACAAGAAACAAACTCTTTGGACTCAGAAACACTACTGCGATAATTCGAGGTCAAGTAAAGATGATCGAAGACAACACTGACAATCATTGGTCTAACTAGTATTTCCATAGAATATTTTTCTTTTGTCTTATCACCCCACCGTAAAATGCTTAGAAATAGTCCAAATGTTTTTATAAAATAAAGCAAAAGAAAACGACTGAAGTTGAACTTTTCAGCTTTTTCAAGGTCAGGCAGCCTCATGTCAGAAAAGAACTTGACAAAGGCCGACCACTCATGTTACAGTACCGAAAACTCTTGAAATCACCGCGTTGCCTCCTTATGATTGAAACGTTGACGTGAATTTTGCCATCTGCCCTCTTCCCAATCGCCATCTTCTCACTCCATCTCCACACCCTGCCTCCTTCTCCACCTTCCACTTAGTTGCTGCACGCGTGTCCTTTTTTGGTCCTGACACGCCGCTCCCTTCTCCCCCTTCTCTCTCGCTCTCTTTCTCTCTCTGCCAGCCTGTGAAAGGATGTGTTGTCATCTATGTATTCCCACCATTATCTTTTGACGTTTCTCCCCAACTCCCCCATCCCCCGCCCCAATGAAAGACGGAGTGTGTCTGAAAGCTGGGAGAGATGCTGTGATGCTACCAGAATGACAGCTCTGGCAGACGGGCAAGCGTCTCCTTTCATGCTATTTATACGTCCCACTTCTTCTCATCACCTTTGAAGGTTATTACCTTCAAGGAAACATCATTAGTGTTAATTCGGCGTCGTTGTCATGTCTTGAGTAAACAGGTCCTTTGTGCATGTTTGCATTTGAACAGTTTCCGTTTTGTACCACCGTTTCGACAATTTTCCGAATTAATTCAAATGAAATACACTTTTTTAAATCATTATTATTACTTACAATGGACCAGAACTTGCATTTATTTATTTATTTTTGTGGTAATATATATATATATATGTATATATATGCTGATACGTTATATTGCATTCTGTACTGTGTACAGTTCATTTTTTAAATTTATTTTGCACATGCAAACACTGTATTTTATGTTTTTCTACTTTCTTCCCCTTAAAATGTTGCTGCTGTAAATTGCAAATTTCTCCATTGTGAGACAAATCAAGGTTTTCTTATCTGAAAATTGCAACAACATTGCAAACAAATGTTTGTGGAAATGTTGGGTTGTAACATACCGCATAATGCAATGTACATTTTAAAATAAAATGTTTTTTTTTTTTTCGGTGATATATTTTTTTCACAGACAGAGAGCAGTGTGTGTGTGTGTGTGTATATATATATATATATATGTGTGTGTGTGTGTGTGTGTGTGTGACTTGCATTTTTTTTTTTTAAATCTTGGTCTTTTTTCCTCTTAAATTCCTCCTCCTCCTCCTAATGGTTTGTTTTGGACTAATCGGATGACCTCCCCATAGGTATTTTGTTCTGCACAAACTGCCGCAGCTGAAGTTTCTGGACACCAGGAAAGTTACCAGAAAAGAAGCGATAGAGGCCCAGGCGAGAGGAGCATTCATGAAGGTGGTCAAGCCCAAATCGGATGGCGTAAGTTTTTATCATTTCCCATTACCCCGCACACCCCTCTATTTTTCGTTACGTTTCTCCTCCTCTCCGTTGTTTTGCAATCTTCTTTCCCCTTCCCTAAACACTTGAGTGTCAGTGTCCGATTAGAGAGGTCCTCTTACTGTGCCCTCACTTAGAGAGTGTGTATCTGTGTGTGCAAAGTGTGTAACCGAGTGTGACCACGGGCTGACCTGATTCCGTATGCATGAGCCCAGATCAAAGACGACGGGCGGCTGTCCGGTCGTGCTTGTGTCGGCGAGCGTGACACGGCTGGCGATTGGAATGACAGCTCACGTACACGCCGCTCACCATCCCTTAATTATCCCCCCCGCCCCTCCGCAACTCTTGTTTTGGGCCACACAGACTAATTAGAGCCGGGGATAAAACTGACTTCAAACCCCCTCTTTCACTCTTCCTTGCCCTCTTCTGCCTCTTTGATAATGCAGTGCGAATGATCATGCCTCGCCTTGATTTGATCGCATGTAATTGTGAGGTCATGAAATATTTAGCTGCGCTTTGTCGTCTTAAGGTCTCAGGGGCTTCGCCGGTGAGCCCGGAGTTAAAAAAAAAAAAAAAAAATGGATCCGCGGTAGGCGTATCAGAAGCATGGAGGTTTAAAAGTGCACGGGGAAAGGGAAAAAAAAAACAAATCTTTCAGGCAGTCAGCGGGGACGGTGTCGTCTTTTGGCATCGCTACGCTTCCCTCTTGAGATCTCATGAAACACAGAAATAATTTAACCTCCGTGTGGTGTGTTTGCTAGATGGAAGAAAGTGGAATGAAAACAGTGTTCAACCACTTGATATAAAGAGAAACCAGGGACCTCTACGGTGATTTTGGCAGGCTGGAGTCACTTTATGAGATTTTATTTACATAGCTTGTCAGCGCGGGAGAAATGTTTGGCTGGGAGACGAAAGCCGAGATAATTACTGATTCTAGCTGACATGACGTGCGTGTCTTTGTGTCTTGGCGTCTTTGAACAAGCTGTATATGATTATTTATTCTTTATGCAAAGTAAAAGGTTACGGCTTTGATGAAGACACATCGACTTCCCGATGCACTCCCACTTTTTCCTTCCCGCGCCAGAATATATTTATGCATCTTTTAAATCGTGTTCTCACTGTTCCTCATTAGTCGAGTCTACACCGAGTGTGCGGACACGCTCCCCCGTCTGGGCCGAGGGACGTGGGCGCAGCCTTTCCGTACCATTTGTCTTGAGCTCGATGAGATGTGATGTGTCAACTTTTTCGCAGACTCGACGAGCCATGAGTACCTCCCAGCTCTCATTGTCCACATCATCGGCGTGATTTGCGAGCTCGCCAATGGTGCTGGCGACCAATTAACAAGGAGCGAGCAGGAGAGCGGCCTCCGACGAGGGCATAATTAGATGTGTGTTTGCTTTGCGCCTCTTGAAGCGGGATGCCGTACACCGTGTGTGCAATTTGCCTCGTTACAGAGGATCATAATTAGCTGTCTGGATTGCGTTAAGCGGTGCAAGTGTTGAGTGAGCGAGAGAGAGAGAGAGAGAGAGAGAGAGAGAGAGAGAGAGAGAGAGAGAGAGAGAGAAATACACCAGCAGCAATGATGTGACTTAAAAGGTTTGTCCATGCAGGGCCGAACAGATGACCCCCTCCCCTCCTCATCTGAGGGGCTTCTAATTGCCTCATGTCGCTACAAATGCGTCTGCCAGTGACTCCACACGCTTTTCACAAGTTAGATGAAGGTATATTTGCGGTACGTGACGATATGATGTATACCGTCTATTTATGATTTTTTTTTCCCCCCCGAGGACCTTGTTCGCGGCTACAATGGCACAGAATAATTTGTACATATTGTGTAGGCCAACATGAAAGAGGTTACAGTATATGTTGCTTGATGGTTGGTAAACTGGATGATTGGGTATCTACTTGGTTCATTAGTTATTTTGATGTGTTGATCTTTTGGTTGTAAAGTTGGTTGGGCTTGGTTAAGGAGTGTGTCTGCTGGTTAGTTTGTTGAGGTCGTTGCTGTTTTGGGGGGTTTCGGTAGCTCATTGGTTGCTTGTTTTGTTTGTTGGTTGGTTATTACTTACTTTGTTGGTTGGTGGGTAGATTAGTTGGTTAATTTATCAGTTTATGGGTTGATGAGTTAGTTGATTTGTTATTTGGTTAGGTTGTTGATTTGGTTATTTGTTTGATTAGTTGATCAGTGGTTTGATTATTTCATATTGGGTTAGTTGCTTGCTTGGTTATTGAGTTCGTCCATTGCTGCTTGGTTGGGGGTTGGTGATTTGGTTCATTATTTCGTTGGTTAGTTGGTGTTAGTTTAGATTGTTTGCTTAGTTTGTTGGTTGGTTGGGTTTTCTGTTGGTTGATTATTTGGTTACTTGTTCAGTTATTGATTTTGTTGGTCAGTTGCTTATTTTAGTGGATGAGTTGGTTGTTTGGTAAGATTACTTGGTTGGATTAGTTTGTTTATTTGTTGATCAGTTGATTGGTTATCTGGTTAGTTATTAGGTTGGTTAGTTTGTTGCTCGCTTATTTGGTGAGTCGGTTCATTGCTAGTGGGTGGCTTTTGGTGATTTGATTCATTGTTTTGGTGGTTAGTTGTTTGGTTGTTAGTTGACATTTATTGTTTAGTTTATTGGTTGCTGGGTTGGTTGTCTGGCATGTATGTTGATTGGTTATTCGGTTGATTACTAACTTGTTTATTTAGTTACTTGTTAGTGAGAGCTACTACCCATAGTTTGCCCAACTAAAATATTAAAAACATCACTCACTAGAGTGCACTAATAATGTTCTACATCACTGCAATCTCCAACCATAATATTTGTTTTATTCATTTTCACAGGTGTGCCGAATGTTGTGCACTGTATAAACTCAAACCATTGCAACACATGCAATTCAGATGTTTCAAGACTCAGTGAAGGAGCATTTTTTTTTCCTTTTTCTTTTTAAGTGATTTACAATCAGAGTCATCACAGAACTTTTGAGAGAGCCGATGAATCATACCGTGATGGATTGTGGCCAGAGTTTGAACTCCTCTTCCTTTTCCGTGTAACACGATGGCATGTGTTATTGAGCGGTACCACATGCTACTGAAAGCGCTACGGTTGTCAAAGCATCATTTTTCCATATACACTATACTCTACTTGCAATGGAACTGATGTGTAAAGCAAACATCCATCTATCCAACCCGCCATTTTCTAATCCGCTTCTCCTCACGAGGGTCGCGGGCGTGCCGGGGCCTATGCCAGCTGTTTTCGGGCAATTGGCGGGGTGCACCCCGAACTGGTTGCCAGCAAAGCAAACATTGTTATGTAATTCTTGTCATTTTCATTCATGAACTAATGGGGTTAGCCTGGTATTCATTAAGGGTGTTTTTTTTTTTTTTGGCATCTTCATAAAGGATTGGATTTCTTTCAGGTCAGCATTGAGAGTATATCCTGATCTTTAAAAAATAAATAAACAATTTTTCGGATGATAACTTTTTATCTCTATCTCAAACTAGCCTTAAAACAATTTGCAAGACTTTTGAAAAGAGAATTTATGTTTCCATCAACTTTTTGTCGTATAATTCCTTTAAACATGCTTTAAATCATGTTGAAATATGTTATATTGCATTTTCTGTGTGAAAATGACAGAGGAGTAATAAACAGAGATGATGAAAAGAAACAAAATAACATACGATGCTCCATGTAAAAGGGAAGAAAAAAAAAACTGAGGACAATTGACATGTTCTCCAAAAATCACAAGGTTAAGCTGACTCAGGCTGGAAAAGCTTTGAGCTATATTTTGGGAAATTGGGCGTGTTGGAATGCCATAATGTGATAATTCACTAGGAGGGTTTAGAGGTCATGGCGATAAACCACATCGAGCCCTTTGGACTTTTGGAAAATACGTGTGGTGCCTTTTGGCTCGGTTCCTCCAACCTCACTTTGCCCGGGGCGCGCTCTCTTGCGACCAGTCATGTCTGTTCATGAACTGCACACTCTGCTTTCTGAACCAAAAAAAAAAAAAAAACAAAACAACCCACCAGTTGAAAAAAATAGCACACGGCAAACTAAACTAGAACATTGACTCCTGGCCTGTTTTACTGTGACTAAAACAAGGTCATAGACAATTCGGGGACGATGTCAGCGCGTTTAAAACTCTCCTCGGACGTCACTTAAATTTTCCCTGACTTGATTTCCTAGCATGAACACACATTTTTCCTCCTGACAACCTTCTTCTGCGTATAATTTAAAACAGACTTTGCGGGTGGTTTGAGGGTCCCACGAGGCACGGAGCGCACAGGGTAACACTTCTTCACGGGAATCGACATTGACAGAGCCAGGAAAGTCCTCAAAGTAGATCTTTTCACCCCCCAACCCCCCCACCACCACCACCACTCCTCCTCAACTGTAGACGCAAACTTGTTTTACAGCAGACAGCAGCTCATATTAAGTTTGAACGAAAGGAAGTCCGTCCAAATTTACAACTGACTGCTCGGTTGTAGACTCATAATTGTGCATTATGGGATACATCATTGCGGGTTATGTGGCAATGCAGTATGTGTGTGGGGGGTTGGACAAGAAGGCATTTTGCTATGGCTTGGCTCTTGGCCTTCCTTTTTCAAAAATGGCAGTAAATCGTGCAGTTGCCACGTCCAGCTCTGCTACTCGAGAGTTATTCCTTCTCCAAAGTTCTCGAGCATAAAAAAATGGCGTGTCATATCGCGCTTTGTGAATGTGCCTTTGGTGCCTTTACTAAATTATTGTACTGAACAAATGTGTCCTCAGGGAGAGAATGTGCTTCTCAGGAAATACAGCGTAACCCAACGGATCGCCGTAGAGGCCAGTTTATTTGCTTTCTGGCTTTTGGTGTGCACCATGGCGAGTCTTTCAAGACGCCTGATTTGTTGCCACCCTCATTCGATGATGTTCTCAAGCAGGATATGCACGGTAGATTGAGAAAAGACAGAGCTGCAGTTTCAGCTTCTATTCGTAATGTTTATATCAATAATG